ATATTTTTTCATTTTGTGTATTTCGTTCTATGAAATCGTGCGGTATTCAAAGTGTTAACCCGAAAATCTCGCGTCTCGAAGCTCTTCTCGCCCAAGCATACGAGCACCGCAGCGACGTTGAACATTCGGACGGCCTCCGCGCGTTTTCCATTCATAAAACTCGGTCCCAGCGTCGCTGGATCCGTTCTCCGGATGCTGCGACATAAGGTTGGTCCCAGTTGGCTGATCCGCGGTAGAACAGACCGTAATTACATTCGGACTCGGATTCGACAGAAGGTGGAGCGGATGCAAACGGAGCGGAGCAGGTATAGGAAGGACTTTTCCTTCGGCGGCGCGCAGATGTCGGCCGGCTTTTTTTCCTTTTCGGGCCCGCCGGGAAATCTTTTGAACCGGTGGCGAGACGAAGGAAAGCCGAGACGTGATCCGGCTTAAAATCGCCGTCCGATACGGCCGCGTGGCACGTGCCACAAAGAAAAACGCGGGACGCGCAGCATCCGCAGCCGCCATCTGTTGCTCCACGGGAACGTCGCTTTGAATTTCGTTTGAATCTTGAACCGTGAATCGACTGTTTTCGTTTCAATCTGGTGTGCCACTCGGAGAGAGGTTTTTTCAGAAGGCGAGCATCTTTGGAATCTGTTCTTGAAACGCTAGACGTCTCGCTTGAAGGATATTGGGAGTACTGCTTCGGCAAATGGACGAGTGCTTTTCGAATAGGAAGCTCCCATATTGCTATTGGCGCTTTGAATTATCGAAAGAAAAATATTTTATTTCCTGAAATAGTTATTCTGTTCTTAGAATGTTGCACTCCAGTTTATATTCCAGAAATTAGGCAGATTACCGATATTATTCGTTTCGTTCCATACTTTGGAATCTAAAGTTCATATCAGCGAGACGAAACTATTCTACCTAACTTCCATTTTCCGTTTATAATATTGCCGTATTTTATAATATCAGCTTTCGATGCTGCGGATAAAATTGAGAATGATATATCTGTTCTCCGAATTCCATCGATCTCCGCTGCATCGCGTTACGTGGCCTGGAAACCAAGTCGCCTGGCCCAGTTCGAATTCTTTTCCGGTATCCTGTTCGACGCGTTTCTCGGACGTCGCGTGCCTCCGCCCTCGGAGCAGGGTTTAACGTTACCGACGAATTATTTCGAGAATGCCGCGAGCCGCTGGCAAAGACGACGACGGAGACGGCGACGACCGTGCAGCCCTCCGCAGTGTCCAACAGCTGTTGCGCGCCTGCGGTTTGACACTTCGAAATCGCACGTGCCGAGGCCCTCTTTCTTCCCTTCCCTTTCCCCGTTGTTCTGCTCGCCGATTCATAAGGCCAAGCCGGGGAAAACTGGAGCTCGCGACGCGGCTTTCTACGGTGTAGCTCACTTATCGAGTTCCCTGGAAGATCCACGGTGAAACTTCGCATTCTTCACTTTGAAGTTGAACTTTGGACTTGAATCTGATTTTTAGCCCTCGACGAAAATTATTCGAAATGTACAGAACCTTGATAATTGATAGAGTAAAGAGAAACTACGCGCTGATCTCTCGCTTGAGTGATTAAATCATCTGTTCGCGACTTAGTCTTCGAGATATGAAAATTTCATGTCGCAGAAGTGTCGACATTCGTCCGCAAGGTTTAAGTATGGAGGTTTGAAAATTACTGATCAATGCTAACTAATGATTTTAATTGTAAATTTACTAATTGTATAACATTTCGCTAGTTTCAAAATTCATGATATTTTATACAGTCTCTAATGATGATTCGTGGCATGGCTTGTCACGACACTTGCGAAGTCAGTTTTCTGGGTCACAGTGGCGGCGAGCAGCGACAGTTTTTGGAATTTCAGGTGCCACCCCTTCACCCCGTGACCGCAGATGTGTGAGCCCGAACAATGGCTAGATTGCGACACAGGAAGCGACACTGGAGTGTCCTTGACCTCGAACAATCACCTTCTGCGTGAAGCACCGTGCGAGGAGGATTCGGTCAGGTGTTCGCTGCGAGTTCCCTCCATTCTTATCCCCGAATTCAATATCAATCCCCTTCTTTCCGTTTCTCTGAACGTGAATCTATCTTTTCTTCTTTTCATAATTCAACTTCAGAATTCAATTCCTTCTTGCTTCGTTGTACTTCGAAATGATTGAAAATTCACTGCAAAGATCCAAAAGAAAAAGCCTAACACCTCGTCAGTTACGAGCTTCTGTCCGATATTTTTCCACTGAACGCGTCAAACAACGATAAACAAACAAGCGCGATCCGCGTTAAAGAAAGTTGACGCGGCTAGTAGATTCTAGAAGCCGAAACCGCAGCAATTAATACCGCAAAGCGCAGCATCCGTGAATTCGAGCGTGTAGCCAGCCATCTGCCGCCATTTTGTCACGGTCTAGTCGCTTCGTGCGCATCGCCGGTTCACTTTCCGCGTTTTTTCCCCCGTTTTCTTTGTCGAAGGAGGCGAGCACGCGCGCCCCGGTCTCGCGGGCCGCGTTTTGTTCTCGGATTTCCGCGACAGGCGTTTAACCTGGCCGCGTCAGGTTGCGGCCAGGTTGTCGCTCCTCATCTCGCGTTCCTGCGTCGATCACGCGCGCACGCGGCACAAATTGCTGGGATGCCGGCCACTCAATCAACGACCGGCGACATTTGCCGCTTCGATGTCTCCCTTGATGAATCTATCAGGATTCTCTTACGAAAGATTAAGCCGAGATCGTAGATTAGACCTCCACGCGTCGAGTACTCAGCGTTAAGCGTCTACTTAAAATTCTCTTATGAACATCACACTTCTTCGGTCGTTGCGTTCAACGGTAATTACCAAGAACCTACGGGCAACGCCAGACGCGGGGACATTCTCACTTTCATCTTGATTATTTGACGAAAACAAGCCTGCCAGCCGCGTCACCAGTTTCCAAGCGCCGAACGCGATAAGCCCGGAGCAAACTTCGTGTAATCTCGGACACTTTCCAGCTCCCGCAAACACAAGGCCCGTGGCCATCTAGCCGTGGAGGCCAGATTGTAGACATTGCCAAGGTGTTCGGTTCGGGAGCAAACAGCGAGGGTCGCGTGCCCTTATCGTCCTATCGTTCTCCGGCTACTATCTCCACGGTGTCGAAGGACGAAGAGAAGCGGCAGAAGGAGAGGGAGGCGGGGGATCGACCAGTTATCTGGAAGAACAGATAGAGTGTGCACAGTGTCCGTATCAGTGCAGCCGCGTGGTGGCGCGTGCACGGGCCCACGGGACGGCGGCGGTGAGGTCGAAGGGGAAGACGAAGAAGGGGCAGATGGTAGCGTCTTCTTCGCAGCCAAGTGGCAGCGGGCACGCGCCAACCGGGTCCCGAAACATCTGCCGCCACTTCCCGGGAGTACAAGAGAACCACCGACTCGCGGCAGGCCGGCCAACGCCGGGCCATCCTCTAACGCAGCGGTTCTTAACCTATGGGTCGCGACCCAGAATTGGGTCGCTCTGTTGTCTTTAGCACGCTGATCGCACCGATCGACGTTCAGCGAAGTACTCGTGCAATCGAATTTTCTAACGGAACGGAAACTCGAAAAAGATCTTTCAGAGCGATTGTTCTTTCAACCTTCTTGTCTCATATATCTAATGAATTCGATCTTCTTGGTATGCCACTGAGATTAATTTAAATCTATGTTCCTCAATTTACTGATGATTTCTCTTCGAATTAGTCTCAAAGAACTTCGTCCTCGTAAAGAAATGGTAAATATTTCTAGTAAGAAACATCCGAGTGCAAAGGGTTAATAACGTGACTAAGTTGATAATAGTGCACCGCAAGGATTGTAAGGCTAAATGATTAATCACTGTTCCTGCTTTCTTTTGCTACAAAGTGCGTTAAGAACCACTGCTTCAGCAGGCAGTCACACTCGGTCCCGAGCTCCTTCATTCTTGAACCTTTCTTCCCTGCAACCACCTACTTCACGGCCACGCGTTTCTATTTCCTCGGCCCCTCGTCCTCCCCTGGCCCCCGACCCACGCAGGTTTTTTCCTTCATTTCCCTGATCAGCTCGGAGCCTGCCACCCTCTTCTGCTTCCTTTTCCGTGATCGTCAACAGATGCTGCGCGATCTTAGAGCTGCGTCAAGAATAGGGGACGCCTGTCAGGCATAGAGGACGATGTTCGACAGGCTGGAAGATCTTCGGGATGAATCGGTAGCTGATTTTTTCGATTACATCGGGGGATTCCTCGGAGAGAAAAGGTGCGCCACGTGCTTCCCGCCATTTTTGGCCACGTGCGCTGCCTGCTGTTGGACTCCGGTTAGGTGTCTTGATGAATGATGCTGCTCGACCATTTTGCGTTCGAAGGAAACACTATTCCTCTGTAATTAATTATGTTCTGAAGTAAAAGTGGGTACAGATGGATTGGGAATTTTTCTTGGTTTTCTGATCAATTATTGAGGACAAAGCTATCCTGAGCACTGTTATTAACCCCTTGACCTATGATATATTTCTCGACTCTGATCGATACGGCTGCTTTGTCATTAATAATTTATCGGAAAAAGAGAAAAATGTTATGCCTATATTTCCTTTAGTAGAATAGTTGATTACAGAGGAATAATATTTATTGATTTCGAATGAACTGAGTAATACTATAATTAAATATAATATTACTTAGTAATTACTAAATTAAAAATATGGGGCAAGGGGTTAAGTTAACTTTAAGAAATATTGACTGTATTTCATGAGAAAGAATGTTGGGTATTTTGGTAAATGAAGTGCAAAGGGTTAAACTGCATTACGTCATTGATATGACAATGCGACCCCAGCAGTGGAAATGATCAGCGATTTTATATCATAATTTAATCAAATAAGTTGACAATAATATTAATCAAAAGATTTACATGAAAATTCTTCTTATGCAATCAAACTATAAAATTCAACGTCTTGTAAGAACAGCACTGTCTTCATGGTTCAAGCAACTTTCAAATTCAAATGGGTTCGCGGGCAAATTTTTGAAGTTTTGTTAACGACTTCACGTCACGTGACCAGTAAGCCAACATGGCTGCAGTGGCTGGAGGGAAGACGTCTGGCGTTCCTGAGTTCAACGAAGAAATTCCGTTGTTCTTGTGCATTAGAGGCGTGCAAACCATTATAAACAGTCGATGTCAGTCCGATAATTCATTTGTTATGAAAAAAAGAGAGAAACAACCGAATGTGCGAGTGTGTGTGTGTGCAAGAGGTAAAAATCCCGAGGCATCGCGTGTATCGGTCGTATGAGTGGAGCGTGTTCGTGCCTGAGTATCGATGCATGTTTGGCAAAAGTATGCTGGGATCGGTGTAAAAGCTGCATGAGCGAAGAGAGAGTGTTCCTGTGAACCAGTTCACGGTATGCCTCGACATTTTTCAACTAATTTCGTTGCACAAAACATTTAGCTTGTCCCTCGCTTGTACTGCCAAATTGAGTTCCAATGGTTCCCCCTCTTACGTAATAGTCGTCTGACATTGTGGCGCCAGTTTTTTCTCGAATTCTTCCCGACTTGCCGCTTTGTAGCGTTCAATCACATGTCACATCGCTTCTTTCTACTTTTTCACGTGTAATTTGCTGTTTTCTATTATCAAACGCTCTGCTGCAGGTACGGAACTTCTTAACACGTTGAATGCCGGGTCACCGGTGACCCCCAATCGAATTACTATAGTTCGATTAAACGATTATTTGAAAACATTTCTATATAATAATGCTGGTTAATACAGTGATTCGACTAGATGAACTCGCAGTAACAATGCAATTCAATCGAATGATTTATTGCTACATTTCTTTCATTTCGAGTATTTTGCTTTATGAAATGCAGTGTTCGACGTGTTAATTTTTGACATGAACACTCATACACGAAACAATTAATAAATAAACGACGTTCTATTGTACTCTGAATTACTGTCGATTGTACGTTGTACTGTATTGCCACTTAACGAAGTACTAAATATCCGTGAAGTATACGAGACTTCAGCTGCCAGTTGAACATAACCTCAACCGACAATGACGTTTTACTGCGTCGTTTCTCGTTCATTAGGTGCAACCGTTCAGTCCTGTTGTATTGTCGACGGTGTACGTGTGTATTGTATTTTCTGGTTTGTTTTCTTTTCTTTGTTTCCTGTACCCGAGGTAATAGAGGCGTGAATCGAATGTCCATATAATAGGCTGTTATTATGATTGCGCGAGGCAGGCGCCACAACCGCAGCCATATTGTGTGTTTATGTTTACGTTTACGGTCCGGCAACTCCGTGGCGCGAGGATCTCGCGTTCTATTGTTATTTCCACTGTTGTACTCGCGTAATCATCGAAACAGAAATTGCATCGGAGATTTTCCTATTGTGCTGGGAACACGTTACCACATACAGGAAGCGCAACACGCAACATTTTATGATAACGTGCTTTTATTTCGATAATGTAAAACGTGACACGAGTATTGCACCCAATAATCCACCAACGACGCATTCATAGTTAAATCGATAATAATAATAATAATTGAAAGCATACAAATGCTTCTTTCAGAAATGATTGAAATAGTTGATTTGTTACATTGAATGCCACGGGGTCACCTTCAACCAAATCGGGTTGCTGTAGTGCATTCAATTAAACGATGATTATTTGACAACGTTTCTATATTATAAATAATGCTGCCTAATGTGACATTCAGCTAGATGAACATGCAATGATAATTCTTAGACCTTTAATTCCCTTCTCAGTACAAACTTCGTATACCTGGAAGATCTAATAATCTTAAGGTAGTCTTCTTAAAATCCATTAAAATATTTAATATTACAACTGGTGCAATATTGGAGCCTACAGAGTTCAAAGGGTTAAATCATTCGTTTGCAACTCAGTATTCGAAGTACGAAAGTTTGTTCTCGTCAAAACGTCGACATTCGTCCCAAAGGGTTAAACCATCATCATCATCATCATCATCAGGATCACCTAAACCGTGATCCGAGAATTTCCGCTCGACGATCGAACCACCGAAAAGCCAATACTTACGCACGTATCGGAAACGCGGCGAGTTTCGGGGCACGGCCGGCAGATGCTCGACGCGAGCCTCCGCGTTTCGCGTGATCCTTCTTAAAGGCAGCCGCGTATATTCCTTTTCTCCGTCGATTTTTCCTTTCTTCCCCGTTTTCCTCCTTCGCAGATGCATCTTTTTCCATTATACTCCGTCGGGTCTCGTGCCAGCAGTCACCGCCCCCCTCCCCGCTTGCCCCTTCCCCATCCCACCGCCATCGGTTCGGGCAACTTTCAATTTTTCGATCGTCGCAGATGCCACGTGCTCGTGCCACCGACTCTCCTCCCCCCTTCCGCCGTTCCCTCCCTCCCCGTACCCGGGTTTCTCTTCTTCCTCCTCGATGCTCCTTTGTAACCCGGCAAGAAGGAAATCCATCGCGATCTTAAGCTCGTCATGCACGACGTGACCCCATTGTGCCCGTGCCGCACAATGATCCGCGCGGACGGTGCAACCTGGCCGGCGGCCGCCATCTTGGGGCCCCGAAGTGTGAATCCGTCCGCGGAGAATATAAATTCCCGGCGTCCCCCTTTCCGCCGTGGCTCTGTTATGTCATAGGCGAACGATGCCTCCCATTTTTACGGAATTTACGACCGCGACACGTGTTACGCTCACCTGAGGGAAGCTTCTAGCCCGGCGTCACCCGGAGGGGTCGCCATCTTTACGGGTCGTCGGATTCTCGAGACGTTCCGCTGATCTCGGTTCTTTTCTTACTTTGTTTTTGGTATTCTAGTTGTTTTTATTCGACTAACTTGACACTGGAGCGTTAGTTTTACGGGGCAAAGTGTTTAGAGATAGGAGATTCGATTGGAAGGGATTTTAGTTGTGATTTTAACACTAGAACTACCGAGCATTTAATAGGATGCAATTCCTATAAAAATTGTAATAGATTATTTTCAGTTCCTTCAGGCATTCATTATAGTACTCACATGAAACTATTTATTTTCAAAATCATTTCGAATGTTCAATGCTTTGAAGATATGAATAATTGCTAAACAAAAGGAACCAGTCATTTTGACTGGTACGGTAGTTCTAGTGTTAATGTAAGGTTCCGAGTAAGATGAGAGATTTGTGTAATTTACTGTAAACCGATTCATCTTCCCGTTCGAATGGATGCAACGTAATTCTACGTAAGAGTGTAAACTGTATTTTGCAACGTTGCGGAAGCATTGCCTTAAGAAGAAAATATCCCGAAAGCGCGGACTCGAACGGTGCCTCGCTCGTACGCTCCCATGAAAGGATAATTTATTCTTCTTCAATTTTTGTAATTGCTCGTTCAGAGAGAGGAGTTACAAAGAGGCAGCCTCGCGTAAAAGTTCCGCCGTTTTAATGGAAGCGTCTGGTTGCCTGAAGGTTTTCGCTGTTTCGCCGGGAACCCTTACGAGAGGGAGACACCTCGAAGGGAATAGGGTCTTCCCCGCGATCGTGCCAGATGTAAAGTGAAGGTAACCGAGGGGGAACACGGATTTCCGATCGAAGGTTCCTCCCTTGATGTGGCCTCCCTATCCTGCCCTGATTGCCTCGGAAGATTTGATTACCGTTATAAAATCAGGCTACCGCAAATCGCGCCCATAAGGGACCACCCCTGTCTGCGCCGGGGCTCCAATAACTCCGTAATCGCCGGAAAAAGAGGATCGCGACGTTTCCCGTTTTATCGAGCCGAATTATTCGTTCGCGAAATCCTCTGGGAAAGGATCTGCTCGAATGTTGTCTATTTAACACTAGAGCTACCGTACCGGTCAAAATGACCGGTCTTAGTTGTCTTATTTTGCAATTGTTGATACCTTCGAAGTACTCAATATTCGAAATGATTTTGAAAATAAGCAGTATCACTTAAGTATTACGAAAAATATCTGAAGGAACCGAAAAATAAATGTTATAATCTTCTGTAGAAAATGCACGGTGGTTGCAGTGTGAACACTAGATTCACGTTTATTAGTTTATTCTACTGTCTCTAGAAAAACTGACGTTCGTTCGTTTAAATCTCGGAAATCAGCTTCAGCTTTCGATTCTACTTCATCATCTTTGACCTCAGTTATCCCTAATAGAGAAATCAATTAAAAAATCAGACCCGAGCTTCGAATCTCACGAGTCGAACCTGAAGCTCGGAACTTGCGGATCGCCTGAAAGACAAAGACAAAGGTGAACAAAAGCAAAGGTCCCGGAGGATCGTAGGGTTCGCTAATCCCGAGACGGTGAAAGCTGCGCAAAGTCAGAAACGGATCCCTCCCTCCTTCTCCCTCTTTCTTTCTCCGCTCGTCGCCTTTCTCCGGCGCACACAGTGCATCTGGCGCACCGGCAGTCCAAACAAGCTTTTGTCGCGGATACCTATCCTACTGTGCCAGTGAACGCCGCGTAAGTACCTGCCGATGGACCAGCGCCGGCTGCTGCGCCCCGCGCGCACCCCGAGCCCCCCTGGCTTTTGGGTCACAGCGAAGATGGGAATTAAATACGAATCGAATGAACCCGTCTCACAACGAAGGGACCTGAATTCCCTCTGTTATCCCCGGATCCCCACGAGCCGTGCTTCCGCTAAAGGTTCGGCACTCGTCGACTCCGAATAATGTTTCTGTTCGATCCAACTGGAGCGGGCTCTTACCTTTCGAACGCAATTCAATTAGTACCTTCGACACTAAAACTGGACGGGTCGAATTGACCGACATAAGGATTCTCGGTTCGCGTGCAATTAAACGAAGGCGTTCCTGCGAAAGATTCTCAATTCAACTTGTTTATCCGCACAGACGCAAGGCTAGATCTTTCGAATCTCGGAACCTGTTCTAATTTTTACGAATAATTGGAAATACGTCGCTCTACTTGCTCGGTAGTTTTAATGTAGATTATTTAACACGAACTACCGAGCATTTAATACGATTAATACGCAATTCCCATAAAAATTCTAATAGATTTTCAGTTTCTTCAGACATTTATTATAGCACTCAAATGAAACTATTTTCAAAATCATTTCGAATATTCAATGCTTCGAAGATATCAGTAATTGCTGAACAAACAAATCGAAACCAGCCATTTTGACTGCCAGTTCTAGTGTTAAAGGAAGGATCCATACGCGATCTATTTTCTAGCATTCAAACTCTAGTAGTCGGTCTCTCTTACCTAATTCTTCGTTTCCACCTTTCCAATCGACGCATTCTTCGCGAGATGCGAACACTGTGACACTGCATACACAATAATAATAATAACTATAACTCCGATGACAAAGAACGAAGTTCTCCGGTCGAGAACAAGTCGAAAGCATGACTCCGTAAGAAAGAGCGACGCCGCGTCGGCGGGAAGGTCAGTGAACCAAGGCCGAAAGAAACTCGCGGAAGGTTGCCGG